TCAATTGAATGCTGGATTTAATGAAGTTCTAATACCCTCTCTCTCTCTCTCTTTCTCTCCTTTCTCTCTCTTTGAGAGTTGTCTTGAGTCCCTTTAATATCTATATTTGATAACATACAATCACTTCAAAACTATTTCTTATCACAAAAGGTTGAACAAATTTTCTTCCTCTAGCCATTAATCAATAAACAAAAGCTGTAACAACAACAATTAACAATTGTTTGATAACCGCAACCGTTGAACCAAAGCCAAAGAAAATTTGCATAAGAAATCAATCAAGTCTTGCATTTTTCGCGTATTCGTATTTCAAGTGAAGCCACACACATACATACGTACACACAAAAATAAAAACAAAACACTTCATTTGGCTACGGACGGCGATGTGGCATGGAAGTGTTTATTATGGCCATTTTATCAGATAACAGTTAATTTGCATCGTTAGTTTTGCGTGAAATCAACAATAAGGCCACTAACACCAACAGAGATACGAAGCATAGAGGAGCCAAAAAAAAGATAGGAAATACACACACACATGGGGTGAGGAAAGATTTATTAGATGAATTGATAGAAACAACAGCCACCGACAACATCAGCATTATGTTGCTATGACAATGCAAAAGAAAAAAAAAAAACAACAGCAATGCAAATACCAAACCAGCTACAACTTTGAAACATGGGAAGCAATGCAACATCCAAAGCGAATTCAACACCAGTATCGAACACGAAAACAAGAAAATGGACACATTGAAGATTAATGTGGGAGATTTTTCAAAATTCAATGTTAAGAAAAAAATGAACTAGTTTTTGTTTTATTGATTATATTTTTGTTTATTGATTGATTAATAATGGCAATCATGCAGAGTGCCAACGAAATTTGTATTTGAATGCTTAGGTTGATTAAAACTATTTCACACACTCTGGCTTCTCTGTGGAATATTTCAATTAATTGTCTTTCAATTAATTTTATAAAATCTTATCTAATTAGTTTTTCGACTAATCTTAATTAGATAAAATTTCCGGCATAATACAAGTTTTTTTTAAAAAGTTGAAATATCTGTTGTCAAAGGAGTATTCTGATATTTTAAAAATAGTTAAAACGATTTATTGAAGTCTAGTACTCCTACTTGAGTCGTATAGAAATCCGGATTGAAAGAAATTTGAAAAAAAAAAAACAAGTAAAAAAGCAACTAAGTTTGTCCGGTCCGAAGTATTAAAACCCTCCAGCATTTGGAAGAAACTTGCAAAAATTCCGAAAACTACCACATAAATGAAAACCGTTATATGGGGACAGTACACAGACGTGGACCTGTCACGGGCTGTAGTACCCATTACGATCTTCAAATATGAAATTTGAAATTATTCCGGTAAATAATGTCGCTAAAATCATGAAAATACCGAATATCGGGAGGTAACGTTATATGGGGACTATTTGAAAACGTGGACCGACATGGCTCAGGTACGAACTTATCCTACCTACTAAGAAAATATGCATGTATGCAAAATTTTAGCCTTCTATTTCAAAAAAAAAAAAAAAAAAAAAAAAATCTGATAATCTGATAAAAAAATTACAACGTGCCAGATTTGGATAGATTTCGACTACTTCCTATACTTTATATGAGATATGTGCAAATTTTTGGAAAATGTGGAAACATGCGTGAGGTAACAGACAAAGCGGACCGAAGTATTCAATTTTCATGATTCATCATTATAGAGATAAAAATATTAGTATGTGCAAAATTTGATGCAAAATCGAACATTTATATCCAATTTTATGCGGAATCATACATTTCGATAAATTACATGCTCATATCAGGTTTCTGGCAAAGAGAGAAATATTTAGATATAGCAAGTTGTAAAGAATCGCTGACTTGTTTTACAAGTTATGACAGATTATTGAAAATTATTGAAAATTGTAATCCTTTGTGGGTGAGGTACCAGAATGGGTTGGCAGATATATATAATCTTCACAACAGACCTTGTGTTATCAAAAATGTTTGTTTCTTTAAATATTAATTTCTTTGTGGGGGAGGTACTTGATGGAGTGGACCGATATTGTCCGTTTTCGCAGATGGGCTAGCACTGACGCAAATATTAGGATTCGCAAAGTTGGAGCAAAATAGGATAATCCTTTCTCTTTCTATGCATTAAAATACAGGGTGAGATGAAAATACTGCAACCAACTTCAGACTGCTGTCATTTCTAAGCCACTCGTCCGACAGCTGTTTAAATTATTCCAGTAACAGCTCATTGTATTGTTTACAAGCGTACAAAAAGTTATTGGCGATGGACTTCAAGCGTGATAATGTGATTTTTTTATATTTGGCTGAAAACCCACAAGTGGCTATCGTTAGAGCTCTCCAGCATTTAAATGTGAATAAATCTTTTGTGTCACGTACCATCGTTCGTTACCGTGATACTGGTAGCGTAGCCCGACGTCAAGGAAGTGGACGAAAGAAGACAGCAACATCAGCAGAAATGGTACGAAAAGTAAAGAAGCGACTTGATCGAACCCAGCGTTGCAGTGGCCGAAAAATGGCTCGTGAGCTGAACATGTTCCTTTCGGCAAATATTGGGGTAAAGCCATTGAAATTCCAAAAAGCGCAAGAACTTACACCGAAACAGAAACAGAAAGAAAATAGACTCAAAAGAGCTAAAAAGTAGCTTCTCTTGACCGAAAGTGGCGAACTGCCGAATTTGGTTTTCTCCGGTGAGAAAACATTCGTTATCCAGTAGTTTGCAAACAAACAAAATGACCGTATTTACTTCCAAAGAGGTCAGCTGAAAATGTGCACCTTCGGTTGGCCACCAGAACTCAGGCGCCTGCCATGGTGATGGTGGGGGCCGCCATAACAGCCGATGGTCGCTCTCCGCTCGTATTAATCGACAGTGGCATCAGAATAAATGCCGAATATTATCGCGAAAATATTCTGGAAGGTACAGGGTTGCCCATATTCGACGGATCCATGCTTGGACTGACGCTTCAAACGCGGTATGTCATTAAGCGATGTGACATCTCTGTCAAAAGTTATGGCGTTGCCAGATGGGTCCGTCGAATATGGGCAACCCTGTATATCCTGACTGAATGCTCGTTATCTTGCAAAAAAAGAAAAAAACAAAAAAAAAAAAAATTGAAATAAAAAAGGTATTTTTTAAGTCAGAGCTTTTACTGATATTGGTGGGTATATAAACAAGTGGAAATGTGACATATGGGGCACCGAAAACCCGCACACATGCGTAGAAAAGCCTTTGCACCCAAAACGAATTAAGTACCACTTAGTTATTTTCGAATAATTATAAGACACATTTCCAAAACCATCTCCATATCTAAACCACAGACACCAATAGTAATATCTACATTAAAATTCCATTATCCAATCCAATACCAAATTTAGTACATTTGGTGCGGATTTTGGTCCAGAAGTAAGGAATGGCCGTTACAATATCCGTCCATGTTGAACGAATTTTCATTCACAAAAATTGAAGAGATTAATATTGGCAAAATTTGGTCTCAACAGGACGACGGTCAATATTGTCCATTTTTGCATATGACCTAAGTCGTATCTAAATATTATGAAAGTCGGTAAATTTTCTTCTGATATGAATAATATTTGGTGTAAGACATAAATTTATTTTGGTCAAAATCCGTTCAAATTTAGATATAGCTCCTATTTTAATCTTCATCCGATCTTACGTTTATTGTGGGACAACTGTGAAATATATGCTCAAATGTGATAAATTTGAATAGGGGAATCCGAATTCAAAATACAATACCTATATGTATGTTGTAGCCGAGTTAAGCATTAATCAACCTAGAAGCCGTAATATGTTCCGTTATCGATTTGGTATGAGACATCATATTAACCCCAGAACTGCATATGGAATATGTTATCAAGTTCTGTACAATATTTTATTACTGTGCATAACCTGAGTGTTGTAGGGTATCAAATAGTATTCGCCATCCGATTTGGATTTTTTATTCCCTCCACCATATTATGGAGGGTATATTAACTTTGTCATTCCGTTTGTAACTTCTCGAAATACTCATGTCAGACCGAAAAAAGTATATATATTCTTGATCAGCGTAAAATTCTAAGTCGATTTAGCCATGTCCGTCTGTCTGTCTGTTGCAATCACGCAATCTTTCGAACGAATTGAGATAGAAGGCTAAAATTTTGCACACGTGTTTATTTTTCCAGAAGGAAGTTCCACGTCCATATAGCCCCCATATAACGGTATCTCCCGATATTCGGTATTTTGATGATTTTAGCGACATTATTCACCGGAATTTTTTCAACTTTGGTCGAAATGGATACTACAGCCTATGACAGAAAATTATATGGGCAGGTCCACGTGACTGTGTAGCTCCGATATAACGATACCTCCCTATATTCGGTATTTTGATGATTTTAGCGAAATTATTCACCGGAATTGTTTAAAATTTGATATTTGAAGTCCCTAATGGATACTACAGCCTAAGACAGAAAATTGACTGGGCAGGTCCAGGTTTTCGTGTAGCCCCCATATAAGGGTACCTCCTTATATTCGGTATTTTGACGATTTTAGGAACAATACTCACGGAAATTGATTGTCATATTTGAAGTTCGTAATGGATGCTACAGGCTGTAACAGAAATTGTCTATGCAAGTCCAGGTCTTCGTATATCTCCGATGTAACAATACCTCCCTATGTACGGTATTTTGATGATTTTAGCTACATTATACACCGTCTATTTCAAGTTTCGAATTTGAATTTGGTAATGACTTATGACAAACAATGTCTATGTAGGTCCAGGTCGTATAGACCCCAATATAACGGGTATATTCGGTATTTTAAAAATTTTAACAGAATTTTTTAAGGATTTTATTTTTTGAAAATTTCCAAATTCGTTCTAAATGGTGGAGAGTATTCAAAGTTTGGTCCGCCCGAACTTACTGCTTTTAACTTGTTCCTTACTGAGATCCTCTAATGTTAATAAAATGATATTTATTAGTTTAACTTACCCTCCAATGAAGATCTTATTTCAACGTCGTCTACGATCTGAAACAGAAAAATGAATGACTAAAATATTTACAAATTTCTACAATATATAAGTTTATTTTATGCGAAATATTTAAGAAATAACAAATTTAATAATAGCTTTAGGAGGCAATGGAATATCCATCACTACAAAATCATTTTACCCAGAATCAATTGTCATTGACAAACAAATTCCGCAACTCTGCTAATTAGTCAGCAATTGACCTTGTTGAACTCATCGAATGGCCATCAAGTCGACGTTTTCCAATAAAGCGTAACATCTTCAATGGAAATAAATTCTTTCATAAAAATACCAATATTCAATTCCAGGAACAACAACAATAAACGCTTAGCTGTTTGTAAATCACGTTTTCTTGTGGCATTTTTTGACGAAATGTTGACGTCTGCCTCTTTTTGGTTTTTTTCTTCTGCGTTTTTTTTATCATTTTGCTGTTGGCTAATAATAAACGAGCATCATGTCTGTTGTCTAACTACTGAAACGCCAATTTAAAGGGTTTATTTGCAAACCAAGAAAAAACGATTCGTAATTGGGAAATTCACTATTTTTTCCAAACAACAAATTCCATTGAAAAAAATCCTCCTCTTTATTATGGACCGACAATGAGATGAGATCCCAGCAGTGCAATTGACTTTAGCATCTCTATTTTGCATAACAATAAATATGTTGATGTTGTTGTAAAAGTCGGCCGTTTTCTTGTTTGTTTTCTGTTACTTTTCGGTTGTCCAAAGCAATCTAATAATTCACGAAAAATCGTGTCTTTAGTTTAATGATTTCTGTGAAAAGAGTCACTGTTGCTGTCTTTGTTGCAAGATGAGCCGAAAGGGATGTAAGGGGAAGGGGGTGAAAATTTAAAAGTGAATGACGTTTAGGTGTAGTGGAAAAGATGTATATGTGGCAAAAAGTGAGAGTATATTTTCGATGTTTGCGATAGTATCTAGACGCTGAAGGGTCATTCAGAAGAATTGCGGATTTCTAGAGAGAGAAGACCTTGAAAAGGTCATCTAAAAAGAAAAGAGTTTTGAAGGAGATATAAAGAGCAACTGTCTTTAACTTGTCTTCCATAGAGATAAGGGACTTTTCTCTATGGAAGAGCTTTTTTGGATAGAAAATTTTTTGATGGTCTTCTCCCGAATACCTCTTGAAGTTTTTCTACATCCCTTCTGAAAGTCCTATAGTCCTATAGCCGAAATTTCATCTAAAGGTCCTATAGCCGGAAGTCCTACTGAGGGTCTTCATAGCCGGAAGACCTTTTGAAGGTCTTCTATAGCGGGTAGACCTTCTAAAGGTCTTCTATAACGAGTAGACCTTTTGAATGTCTTCTGTACCCAGAAGACCTTCTGAATGTCTTCTATACCCGGAAGACCTTCTGAAGGTCTTCTATAGCTGGTAGACCTTCTGAAGGTCTTCTATAGCCGGTAGACCTTCTAAAGGTCTTCTATAGCCGATAGACCTTCTAAAGGTCTTCAATAGCCGGTGGAACTTCTGAAGGTCTTCAGTAGCCGGTGAACCTTCTGAATGTCTTCTATACCCGGAAGACCTTCTGAAGGTCTTCTTAGCTGGTAGACCTTTTGAAGGTCTTCTATAGCCGGTAGACCTTCTAAAGGTCTTCTATAGCCAGTAGACCTTCTAAAGGTCTTCTATAGCGGGTAGACCTTCTAAGGGTCTTCTATAACGAGTAGACCTTTTGAATGTCTTCTATACTCAGAAGACCTTCTGAATGTCTTCTATACCCGGAAGACCTTCTGAAGGTCTTCTATAGCTGGTAGACCTTCTGAAGGTCTTCTATAGCCGGTAGACCTTCTAAAGATCTTCAATAGCCGGTAGACCTTCTGAAGGTCTTCAGTAGCCGGTGGACCTTCTGAAGGTCTTCAATAACCGGTAGACCTTCTGAAGGTCTTCTATAGCCGGTAGACCTTCTGAAGGTCTTCTATAGACAGATGAAATTATAAAGATCTTCTATAGAGGAAAGGCCTTTGGAGGTCTTCTATAGACAGGAGAAAAGAAAATAATCTGTCTTCCATTGGAAGAAGAAATTTTGAAGGTATTCTATTGGAAGAAGACCTTTTTAAGGTCTTCTGTAGAAAGAAGATCTTCTCAAGATCTTCTATAGATAGAAGTCCTTTTGAAGGTCTTGTATTGAAAGGAGACCTTTTGAAATTGTCTTCTATTGAGAGAAGAACTTTTAAAGATCTTCTTTTGAGAGAAGACCTTTTAAAAATCTTCTGTTGAAAAAAGACCTATTGAAGGTCTTCTATTGAAAGATTTTTTTGTAGAAGACCTTTTCAACGTCCTCCTTAGAAAAAAGACCTTTGAAGATCTTCTATAGGCAGAATCATTTTGAAGGTTTTCTATTGAAAGGAGGCCTTTAGAAACTCTTTTATTGAAACCTTTTCAAGTTCTTCCGTTGAAGGAATATCTTTTGAAGGGTTTCTATTGAAAGAAGAACTTTTAAAGTTCTTCTATTGAAATAAGACCTTTTTAAGGTCTTCTATGTCTTCTATTTGAAGCCTTTAAAAGTCTTCTGTTGCTAGAAAATCTTTTGAAGAAGACCTTTTGCAGGTCTTCTATTGAAGCAAGAGATTTTGAAGGTCTTCTACTGAAAGAAGACCCTTTGATGATAATCTTTGAAAGAAGGCCTTTTAGAGGTCTTTTAAACACCGAAAACTTTCTGAAGTTCCTCTATAGACTGAAGACCTGTTGTAGGTCTTTGAAGGTCACCTTTTGAAGGTCTTCTATTAAAAGAAAGCCTCTTGAAAATCTTCTATTTAAAGAAGACCTTTTGAAGTTTTCCTATTTTGAAAAGACGTTTTGATCGTCTTCTATTGAAAGAAGTCCTTTTGAAGTTCTTCTATTGAGAAAAGACCTTTTGAATATCTCCTATTGAGAGAAGACTTTTTCAGGTCTTCTATTGAAAAAAGACTTTTGGAGGTCTTCGAATGAAAGAAGATGTTTTAAAGGTCTTTTACTCGAAAAAGATTTTTTGGAGGACAGAATATCTATTAAATGTCTTCTATTAACAAAAGACCTTTGAAGATTTTGTATAGACAGAAGAGCTTATGAAGGCCTTATTTAGGAAGAAGAGCTTCGTAGGTCTTATTTAGACGGAAGACATTTTTATACCATCAGCCATATGGCTAGAGAAGGTATATATAATTTGATACGGCCAAAACGTGCCTCATCGAAACAACGGGTTTAGACCCTAGGACTCTTTGAAACAAATCCGTTTCAGGGCAGTTTGGAGTCCATCTAGCGATGTCCGTCTGTTTGTCTGGCTGCTTCGCACAATAACTCTCGAAGGGAATATCTGATTTGGTCTAAACTTGTACATCGTAATGTTATTATACAATTTAGATCGAGTTCGATGATGGACATTATCGGTCTACTCAATTTTCAAAAAAAAAAAAGGCAGCGAAGTTTGGCCGGGCCGAACTCTTAATACCTTCCACCATTTGGAAGGAACTTGGAAATTTTCAAAAAAATTCCGGATACTACCACTTAAATGAAAACTGTTACGTGGAGACTATACGAAGACGTGGACCTGCTTACGAAAATTTTGGTCAAAGGCTGTAGTACCCATTACGAACTTTAAATACCAAATATGAGACAATTCCGGTGAATAATGTCTCACAAATCATAAAAAAACCTAGTATTAGGAGGTACCGTCATATGGTGGCTATATCATAGGCTGTAGTACCCAATACGAACTTAAAATATGAAATGTGAAATAATTTGGGTAATTACTGTCGCTAAAATCATGAAAATACCGAATATCGGCAGGTACCGTTGTATGGGGGCTATTAGAAAACGTGGCTCGACATGGTACATTTACGAACTTAATCTGCCTACTGGTAAACTATGCATGTATGCAAATTTAGCCTTCTATCTCAATTCTTTCGAAAGATAGCGTGATTACAACAGACAGGCGGACAGACTGGTACCTTCCCCACAAAGGGGTCAAAATTTTCAATATCTATGAAAAATCGCGAAACTATCATCCGATTTCATTCAGCCTTGGCACATCTCAATGTTTACATCAACACAATGTTTGTTAAAAAGATGGTAGAGATCGGGCCATACCTTCTGGTACCTCTCCCACAAAGGGTCAACAATTTTGAATAACCAAAACGATTATAAAATCCGAAATAAGCATTGGATTCTCTTCATATTTCACATATCCCATTATTTATACAAACACAAGATCTGCTGCTATGGTATATATCAGTCCACTCCTTCTGGTACATAACACACAAAGCATTAACATTTTGAATATCCACGAAGCTCATAAAACACGAAATTAACATCCGATTCCAGTCAGACTTGATACATCTAAATATTTCCATTATCACAAGATCTGTTATAAAGATGGTAGAGATCGAAACATTTCCTCTGGTACCTCCCCCACATAGGGTTCCTGATTTTGAAAAACAAAACGCTCAAAGTAAGCGAAATAAGCATCCAACTTTCTTCAAATTTTACACATACAAACACATACAAGATCTTGTTGTGAATATTATATTTTTCTGCGATCCGCTTCTGGTATCTCACCCACAAAGCTTCACAATTTTCAATCCTATTATCTCTCATAAGTTACGAAAAGAAGTTAGCGATTCTTTGCGACTTGCTAGATATAAATATTTCTCTCAACCAGGAACCTGAGATTAAAATGGAATTTATGATTTCGCATAAAATTGGATATAAACGTTCGATCCTCTTGTAATTTTACCTATACCAATTTTTTTATGTGTATTGTATGAAGTATGAACATTGAATGCTTCGGACATTTTAACATTTTTTAAAATTATCACATACCTCATATAAAGTAAAGGAACCAGTCGGTATAATCCAAATCTGGTGTGTCGCAATATTTATATCATACTTATTTAGGTCCGATACGAAATGGACAATATTGGCCCATTCCCTCGGAGGGTCAACAATTTGAATAATAATAACAGAAGTCAAAATATATTTAAATAATCGAACATTGGCTGAGGGAATAACT